GGGGTGGGGGCAGGGAGGGCTGGACGTGGTGGCAGGGAGGGCTGGGAGAGGGGATAAGAGGGGAACATGGGGGGCGGGTAAGGAGGGCTGGAGGTGGGGGCAGGGAGGGCTGAGAGGGGACAAGAGGGGAACATGCGGGAGAGGGTAAGGAGGGCTGGAGGTGGGGGGGGAACATGGGGGGAGGGTAAGGAGGGCTAGGGGTGGGGGCAGGGAGGGCTGGCCGCAGGCTGCTCTGGGCCATTAGCTTCTTGTGTTCTCAGCATCTTAGACAACAGAAAGTGCTCTGCTTCGCCCCGGCGCATCCTTCTCGTTCTGGAGAGGTCCCAAAGGTCATGGAGAGGGCACAGAGTGCTAATCCCCTCAGGGCTGGCCACTGGGCCCTGAAGTTTGTCGTCCCTCCTGCCTACAAGGACCCAAGGCCCACAGGGCATCAGTGACTGCCTGGGAAAGTGATGGATCCTTTGTTGAAATGGATAGTCATGTTGGTTTCTGCCATTTTCTAACCCTGGGACAGAGTCAGACAAGAATCCCTGGAACCCCCGGCGTCCAGGTGCAGAACGACATCTGACTGGCCTTCTGTCACCGCTGCAGAGGGGCTGGCCCCCTAAGGGGAGCAGGGTGCAGACCGAGGAGGAGGCCCCCAATGATGACCCCTGTCACCCCTTTCACTATGTGTTTCTTGAGGACCTACTCCACAAAGCCGTGGGGTTGCAGCTGCCTCCAGTGCTCCCTGGCCTCCCCTGGGGACACGAGCCCCTGCGGCCTTGGGGGGGGGGGGGTTGACCACAAACAAATGTGGCCCCGGGGGCCAGCAGGCCTCCACCTACCGTCAGAACGTCATAGTAGTTTTCGCCGTTCTCTTGGCACTGCCCAAAGATGTACTCCACTCCCAGGAAGATGTCTCCCAAGTTGAAGTCGTCTGGGCACTCGGGCTGAGGAACCGCCCCTGCCCTCAGGTTCTGCAAAGGGGAAGACAGAGCCCAAGGATGTCACCTCCTCAGTACGAGGGTGTCTTTCCTTGGGACGCTCTCCTGGGAGGTCAGGAGCGCAATCGGAGCCTGTGGTCACAGAGGCTGGGAAGCCCAGGCTGACATGATTCCAGTGGCTATGGGGCCAAACCCCACCTTTCCTCCTATGGAGGATGGGAGTGTGAGGATCTGGGGGCTCTTCCTTCCCAGGCCTCAGTCGTGGAAAGGTGCTGGATGTCCACTCTTAGGGTTCTTTCAACTCTTAATTCCTGCTCCCATAACTGGGGCATCTACCTCACAGGGTAGTTCTGAGAAGGATTCCTCATAAAGCTGAGTGCGATAGGGGGCCGCTCCACACCCTTCTCTGTGTTCTGTTGGAGGGGGAGCCCCAACTTTCACCAATAGCCCCCCAGGGCAAGCTGAAAGGTCTTTATTGGGGGGGGTCTCCAAAGCCTGTGGTTTAGTCAAATGGGAAGAAAGGCTTTGCCCAGATGCTGGCGGAGAGGGAAGCATGACGGCCGTGTCCCCCGCCCCCATGACAGCTCTGCTGCAGGGGGGCCCCACCCCCCAGCTCTCTGCCGTGTTCCTTTTGGTTTAACTTGCACCCGTGGGAGAGGAACAAGAAGCGAATCTGACGGTCAGTGTCACGAAGCTTGGACTGAGCCGGGGAGGTGATGCCCCCATTGGAGGTGCTTTACTTAAGAAAGAAACTGGTGGGGCAAGATGGCGGAGTCAAGGCAGGGATGCGCCTGTGCTCTCCCAAATTCCCCTCCAAATGCAGCCTCAGAACCCACAAAAGGACGGGGGAGCCGATTTTCTAGCCCGAGACAACTTAGAAGGTCGGCAGGAGAGGTCTGTGGCTCCGGGGTGAGCGGTGAGTGCAGGCAGCGCAACAACACCGTACGCGGTCATTCTCAGCAATACCAGGAGCCGAGACAACGCCAAAGGAGTGGCGATGGAAACGCTCTCCGCCTCCAGAGAAGGCCCGCTGGCCCCTGAGTGCAGATCCAAGCAGGCTTCTTATTTCCCTTCTTTTATTTGGGTTGTCTTGGCCTACGTTTCCTTTCCCAAGATGACTAATATCGGGAAACGTGGTCTGCATGACCACACTTGCATAACCTATGTCAAACTGCTTTCCTTCTCAATGAGGGGGGAGGGGAAGAAGGGAGGGAGAAAATCTGGAACTCAGAATTAAGAAAAATGACTCTTAAAATTTTCTGCATGTAATTGGAAAAAAACCATTTTAAAAAGAACAAAATGAAGCAAATTAGAGCCAAACAGGCCTCCCCCTTCAAGCCCTCTTGTCCTGGGCTCCCAGAACACAAAATCACCAGGCATTCCTCAGCACGGCATATGCTGCTGCAGAGAACAGCAGGATTTGGGAGTCACAACTACTCCCCCCATCCCAGCTCCAGTGCGAAGGAAGCCTTTACTTCTGTGGAGGCCCCGGCTCCTCCCACCCCTGGCTCTTGGCCTCGCTCTCTGCAGCCAATCAATCCCTTCAGACACTCTAAGACAGCTCCCATGCAGCCTGCCCGCAAGCCTTCTCTTCTCCAGGCTGGGCAGGCCCAGTCCGCGCCTCATGGGACCTGATTTTGAGGCCCTGGGCACCTTGGCCTCCCATCTCTGCTGGCTCTCAGAAGACAGTGAGCCTGTGGCTGTGGCCTGGCCAGGGAAGAGAAGAGCCCCTCTGCCCTCCTGGAAGTGGGCCCTCTCTTCATGGAGCCCCCCACGGCACAGACTTGACTGCTTCACTACCATTATTTATCTTTTTTGGAATGAAAGTGAAAAAAATAAAAAGCCTCCCAAAGAAACTGCTTGTCTTTGAAGAGCTGGGCCCTGGGGCTAGGGAGCCTGACCTTCCATAACCTAGGTGGCCCAGAGCAGCCAAGGAGCTACTTAACCTCGTGGAAAGGAAAGGAGAGCACGTCGGTGGGGCTGGGGCTTTTCCTGTAAGTTCTATTAAGGCGCTGAATGCCTCTGTTATCCACACATATCACCCCCAGGTCAAACTGCCGGATGCCGAGGATGTGCCGGAGGAGCTCGATTCTGGCCCGCAGAGGGACCCTCCGAACGGGGATGACGCTCTGCAGGTTTCGGAGAATGAGGCTCATCGTGAGACTGGCAGGATCCTCTGGGCTGTGAGGAGACCCTGTGGATTACATGTGAACACAAATATTAGACTAGAAAGTGATATTGCAGTCTCCTGACCACACCCTGATCATCACGTTAGCTGGGAGAGCCCAAGGATGGGGTTTTTTAATTAATTTATTTTGATTTATCAACAATCACTTCCATACGCTTTTGAGTTTTATATTTTTCTTCCCACCTCCCCCTCCCCTCCCCAAGACGGTGCGCGATCTGATATAGGCTCTACAAATACATTCCTATTAAACATTTTCCTGTTAGTTGTGTTGTAAGGAAGAATTAGAACCAATAGGAGGAACCACAAGAAAGAGGAAACAAAACAGAAGAAAAAAATAGCAAATAGTATGCTTCAGTCTGCATTCAAACTCCATAGTTCTTTTTTTGGACGTGGAGAGCATTTTCCATCATGAGACTTTGGGAGATGTCAGATCCCTGCACTGCTGAGAAGGGTTAAGTCTATCAAAGTTAATTGTCACACAACGTGGCTGTTACTGCGTACAACGTTCTCCTGGTTCTGCTCACTTCATTCACCTGCTATAAAGTTTACAAGACGTTTTATGTGTAATACTAGTGTTAGGGACAGTTTGTGGAGGCCAGAGTGGTCCCTGCCCTCCAGCAGCGTCCATCCCAATGGGGGGAGACAGCGTAGAAATGGTCGGGTTTCTGCAGGGTCGGTGTGCCCAGGAGTTGGAAGGCAGTGTCTGAGAGGAAGGCCCTAAGCAGCTGCACATTCTGGGAGAGGCTTCCTGCAGAAGACAGCCTCTGATCTGAGCCTTGGGGGAAATGCCAGCAGATACCCGGTCACTATCCTGTTTTCTTCTGTGTGGTTTTCACATTTGACTTTGTTTTCCTCTTGCTGTCCCCTCTTACCATCCCTCCTGGCTTAGAAGCCTGTCCTTGTAAGTAGAGCCAAGCAAAAGCAAATGCATAAATTGGCGGTGTCTGTGTGGGCCTGGTTTCAAATCCTCCCTTGGTGACCTTGGGCAAATTAATTCATCTCCCTGGGCCTCGGCTGCCTCATCAGTAAAGGGGGGAGGGGGCCTGTCTTCTCCCAGTCCTTGGGGACCTCCACAGCGCCATGATGTGAGGCACGTTTTCACGTGGTTGTTGGTAGCTGCATTTCTTCATTTAAAAAGTCTCTCTATGGCCTACGATGACTGATCTTGGGGGAATAGCGCATGTTCTGTTGTGTTTGGATCAGTTGTCAGTGACCATCCCTGGACAAGAATCCCCTCTAGGCCATCTCTGACAAGTGGCCCTCCATCCAGTCTTTTCTTGAAGACCTTGGTGAAAAGGAGCACACGAGTGCCCAGAGCAGCCTCAACAGGCCTCTGCTAGGAAGTTTTTCTTTACATCAGGTAGACTTGATTTGTCTTTTGACCACTTCTACCCATCACTTCCAGTTCTGTCCTCTGGGGCCAAAGAGAACGAGCCTAACCCTTCTTCAGGCACTTGGAGACAGCTCTCATGACGCTCATGGAGTCTTCTTCACCCAATCCTCAAATGGCATGAACTCCAGGTCTTCTTTTGTCTATAGGACACGAATCATTTAGTTCAGTGGAGACAGAATCTACCTCAAGTGTTAGGGAGAGAAAGAAGAAGCAAGAAGAGCCAAAGGAGGAGCAGACAGTGACAGAGGACTGAAGGCGTGCTGGGTCTGACCCCGAGGATACCGGGACAGGGGGTCAGTGGTGGCACATGCCACAGAGGCCACAGAGATGAGGCTCCGGAAGGTCACTGCGGATGGTGGGTTCAGTAGCATTCTGGGAACAGAAGCCAGATTTTAAGGGGCAGAGGACACGGGAGCTCTTATAACCGCCAACAATCTTTGTTAATGGAAGAGCAAGGCCATTCTGCCCTGTGTGGACTTTCATCTCTTGATGACTCAGGCAAAGGTGCCAATGACATGACTATCACATGTGCAGGTGGCACAAAGCTGGGAGGGATGGGTAACACACTGGATGACAGGATCCGAAGGAGGTGACGGGCTAGATACTGGGGCAAACCAAGTAAGATTAAACTTAATAAGGATCAACAGAAAGTTCCAGATATTTGAACACCTACTTATCAAGTACAGGATGCACGAGGAGTATGGCTAGACAGTTGGGGACCACAGCACTTAGAACCGGAAGGGCCTTTAAAGGTCACTTCGTCCAACCTGCTCACTGAGAGACGGGGAAGGGGACGACCGAGGCTCAGGGAGAAACAACCAAGGGCATGCGGCTCGGACCCGAGTGCTATGTCCAAAGGGATGTCCACTGTTTCACCCTGCTTCCCAATACCATCCAAATGAACAAAATACTGTCTCTGTGTGGGGCTGGGCACCGAGTGCTTGGCTTCAAAAAGCTTGTGTTCTACTGAAAGGGAAATGCGGTTTTGTGGAGTGGTGTGGACTTGGAGTCAGGAGGCCCGCGGGGAGACCCCAGCTCTGCTCCTCACTCCCACCTCCCTCAACCTGGACAAATCACTTCAATGGGGCACGATACTACCCATCGCACTACGTACGTGCTGGGCACACCAAGGCAAAAACAATAACGACCAGTCCTCCCAGATACCATGAGGGGAGCTGGTGGCCTCCATTCTCTGGTCCAAGCAGGACCCCGAGATCCACACCCTCGGTCTCTTCTGGTCTCTGTGGCACTGAGCAGAGCTCACACCTCTTGTCTTCTAGGTTAAAGTTTCCCTCGGGCTTCTTCGTCCTGATGACCGCAGCGATGAGGATGAGGATGGCCAAGAGGAAGATGAGGGTGGTGAGGATGAGGATGGCCAAGAGGAAGATGAGGATGAGGACATGGCCACGATGAAGGAGGAGGATGAGGATGGAGAAGAGGAGGATGAGGACGGTGAGGATGAGGATGGCCAAGAGGAAGATGAAGGTGGTGAGGATGAGGATGAGGAAGATGAGGATGAGGACATGGCCACGATGAAGGATGAGGATGAGGACGGTGAGGATGAGGATGGCTAAGAGGAAGATGAGGATGAGGACATGGCCACCATGAAGAAAGAGGATGAGGATGGAGAAGAGGAGGATGAGGAAGATGAGGATGGCCA